TGAATGTCCGTCTTTATGACCTTTACACAGGTAAAGAGTTTCTCTTCCTTGGGGGAAGAGCAGTTACTCTGCCTTCACGAGCTATTGCCTGTGACTGGCTTAGAGGGCCCTCAACAAAGTAGACCAGACCAAAGCAGAACAGCCTTCCAGACTTGATACACGAGGGGTTTGTTCTAGGGATGCAAAAAACTTCTAAAACATTAGCTGTGGCCACATTTTCACTTGCAGCGCTGGAGATTGATGTTCTGGCATTCGATTTAGCAGGTCTAGTTAAGACCCACCAAATTGAATGCTGAGGGCAGCTCCAGTCAGCACCGGTACTTCTCACAGGCGGAAGGGAAGCTCCCGTCGGCCTCTCTCTGTGAAGACGGTGCCGAGCTCGGTTTAAGATGTGTCGACTCCAGCTACATATTTTATGTAGCCAGAGTTGCATACTTTAAACAAAACCTTCCAGGTATAGTGTAGACAGCCTGAGTAACCGATTAAAATTTATAGTCGGTTACATGGTTAAATGAGCTCCGCCAACCACACCAGTCCCCACAGGTTGCTGACTTCTGACTGCGCCGGCCCCCATAGGCTGCCGAGTTCACTGGCTCCTGGCCCCACCAGCTCTGGTCCCTGAGGCCTACCAGCAGCCCACCAGTGTTTAACTGTTAACCAGAACCGATAAGCACCAGCTTAACAGTTAAACTTTTACATCCCTAGTTTGTTCCCTGTGGTCTTGGTAGCGGCGAGAAACCTTTTCCTTTTTGTACATTGTACCCCTTTCTATTGTTGATAAAGAAACCTGATAATTTTAGGAGAGATGCAGCTGTGTTCAGTTGTCTGAGAATGTCTTGTTTGACCTAATGTGCATCGAATAGGAATTGTCTGTTGTTTCTTTAAAGCCTAAATGAATTTTATGGCCCCATTATATCAGAGAAAAGGCCCAGAAAAGAACCCGCTTCACTCAGCCTGCAGGAATGAACCTGAGACTAAAAGTCTGAGCCAGTCTCCAACAAGGTCCTTGTAGAGCAAATAAATCCAATTCTTTCCTCTGATATGCAGCTTTTGGAGTCTTGTCTTTGCTGCAGAGGTAGCGCTTACCAGGTGTTACCCCTAGTCCTCCTCCCATCTCCCACACAGTCTTTTCACACAAGTTAATTGTGCTTTGTCCCAGCCAACAGCCTCTCACTTGGGCACACCCACTTTGCAATGAAGGTGCAGGCTCAATCACTCAAGTGCTAGCAGTCTTTCAGTGCCTTCCCATAATTCCACTGTGTGGCCAGGAGTTCTCCCACAATTCACCAGGAAAAAGTCAACATGGCTGAATTTACTGTAGCACAAGCCCATGAAGACATCCTAGTGACACATACAGGGGAGCAACCCACCAGTGAGGATACTCAACTTGAGCATGGATTTAGAGCATACACTGATGCCCAGCTACTGTTCACCCAAGCTAACTGCAGTGAAGACTTACTCTCAGGATTTATGAGCTGTGTGTTAATCCAGTGGCTCTCAACCTTTCCCAGCTGTAGTACCCTTGAAGCAGAGACCTGCCACATGGGGCTGAAGCATGTAACTCAGCTTCTTGTGACTCAAGGCAATCGCCCTGCCTGCTGCCCCTTAGTGCTGGCTCTGCACTTGCAACGCTTTAAACCTATGCCATGGTCCCCCTAATTGAGGAACACTGATCTAGTTGAGTTGACGTACACCCTGGAAGACTGCGTACTGCCCGACATGACTGACGAAGAGGGTCTTTGCCCACCGAAGCTTATGCTCCAATAACTCTGTTACGTTAGAAGGTGCCACTGGTCTTCTCGTTGAATCTGAAGATAGTTCATCAAGAAGATCAAGTCACTACAGAAACTAATGAAAAATGTAAGTATTTGTAGAAATGATTGTATAAAGGAGGTAAACACTTGCTTCAGAGTGAAGTGCGAGTTGCCTCATCTGCTTGGAGGAGATGAATATTAAACAGCTTTTCTGTGTATCTTCCATTGCAGTGTATATTGTATACAGTAAGACATTAAGGCTTTTTTTTTTTTTTAATAAAGGAAGAGATAGAAGACGACTCAGTGTTAACAAGCATAAGAATTTGGAGATGGTCCCTAAGAATTATTGATGAAAGGCAAAAATCTGCCCTGAATTCTACACCGTCCAATTCCTCTAACAGCACTGAACGGGGGTTGTCAGGACAGAAAATGATTGACTTGATGATGCAGCTACGGAATTCTAGCTGAATAATAAAGAGCTTATTCTCACTCACGACCTCAATATTTAGAGAATGAAATCTTGTCCCCCTCGTTTACAAACACTTCCACATCACAGCAGCCAGTCCAGAAATGACCTCTGCTTACACGCCCTCGTAGGCATGTGCCAGTCACCCTGCGATAACTGATCCTGTGTGTGCGTGCCTCCTCGCAATCTCACCTCTATCCCTGCAACAGCCTTCACCTCGAAACCTGCCCACTAGAACAGCCATTGTGTCTCCCTGAAAATCACGCCTGAAGAAACGTGTCTGATGTTATAGCTTGCTGCACAGGAATAACTATGAAGAAACCACACAGGCACAGCAGAGTTTCAAATCACTCGCTTTTCTCTATAGTGAAACACACTAAGTCTTGCTACGTACACAGAGTCAGATTTTCATAGATTCCAAGGCCAGATGGGACTATCGTGATCAGGTACAGCACAGGCCATTATGTACCACAAAAAAAAAAAAATTCCTAGAGCAGATTTTAGAAAAGCATACCATCTTGATTGAAAAGTTGTCAGTGATGTAGAAATCCTTCATGACCCCTTGATAAATTGTCCCAATGATTAATTACATTCACCGTTTAAAACAGATGCCTTATTTTCAATGTGAATTTTAATAGCTTCACCTTCCAGGCATTGGATTGTATTACACCGGCCTCTGCTAGACTGAGGAACCCCAGGTATGTACTTCTAGACTGTCATCATTAATATTCACTAAGCTAAATTAGAAGAGGTCCCCTGAATCTCTCACTAGAAGGCAGGTTTCTAGTCCTTTCTCCAGTGGCTTTTCTCTGAATCCTTTCTAGCTTCTCAACACTCTCTCTGAATTGCGGGCACCAGAATCGGACACAGGATTCCAGCAGCGATCAGAGCAGGGACATATATAGAGGTGAAATAAATTCTCAAATAAGAGTCTTCTGTTCATGCCTCCGAGGATCACATCAGCCTTTTTAGCCACAGTGTTGCACTAGCTGCTGTTCTGCTGATTATCTGCCTGAAGCCACAGTTCTTTATTCCGGGACGCAGTTACTCTGAAAGTCTCCCACCCAGCAAATATGGCCAGCAGTCTTTGTTCTTAGATGTGTACACTGACAAAGCATTTGGCCTCACCGTGCCCACACCACAAAGGTGGATGAGAGGCATACGTGTTTCCATTAAAGAACATATCCTACACACCTACCTTGCCAGCAGATCCAAACCGTGACCTGTCCTCTTGAACATCGACCAGTCGAGTCTGTGAATGATGATTGTGTTTTCTTCCAGAGCCAAGAGGAAAAAAAAAAACCTAAATAGCACAGGGCCAAGCACAAATCCCTGTGAAGTTGGAGAATGATTCCCTGGTTATACGTTACATTTTGAGACTGGTCCATTAGCCGATTTTAATCCATTAACGTGCGCACCAGGAAGGTGGGGGTGGAGCCACAGGGGAAGTGAACTGGTGGCTTTCTGGTTCTTGGCTTGAGTGGATGTGTGTCAGGGACGTTGTGGGTGCAGCAATGGTTTTTCAGAGTTCCTAGGGTCCCTCCCCAGGAGGCAGAAGGTGGGGCTGCCGGGGGATTTGTGCCTTTGGGAAGTGGTTGGAGCTCTGATGGGGACAGGCACAGCAGTTGTGCCAATGGCAGCATGTCAGTCCTCCCCCCGAAAGGGCCCTCGTCAGCCCATCTCCTGTGCTTTTAAAAGAATCAGCCTCTTTATAAATAACCTCAGAGTAGATGGATTTTCATCTCTATCTTTTTTCCCAGGGGCCGTGAGGCTCCCCCGCTGCCGCCACCATCGCTTTCGAGATGTGCGAAGAGGAAGGACAGAGAAAGTTAGTCTGGGCCAGGCAACCTGCAACGTCGTCCTTTTTTAACACGGGAAAGTAATTTACCATGGACAACCCCGGACTAAATTAGGAAACTCTTTATTTCAACCAAGAGTATTACAAGAAATCCATAAATGCGGTAAAACACACATCATAGTTCTCTAGGGTTGGATAACAAAGCAAGTACCGGCCTGATACCAGCCTAATAAAACAGAAATGAAATATATTAACTCTAATACCCAAGGGCTAGGTTACAGGAGATGTCAACATTCAGTTAAAGGCAGGATACATGGTCTTTCCGAGTCTTTTGGTACCTAAAAACCATCCACGAGGCAGTTGGTCAGTGAGAATGGAGGCTATCAAGAGCCAACCTCTTTGCTACCAGGCTCGGGGTAGAGGTGCACCACCGTTCAGCTGGCATTCTAAGCACAGAAGAAGCCTAACTGGTTAGTGGAAAGGATGCATCATGGATCCTCTCTATTTACTCAGTTATAAAAGATGAAAGAACCCCGAGTTCTTGCATTGGCAGGGCTGCTGCTACATGCTGTGTCCTCTCTCCCACGCTCTCTTTCTACCCTGGGCAGAAGATTCTATGTAACGATCTATTTGTCCACCACGGCCCCATGCAGTCTCAGACATGTCCCTTTACTTTCCTGATCTCACTGTCCAGGACTAAAGGTGGCAATCTAACAGAAATCTGAGTCACAGGCTCTGTTCCAACGGGACAGCTGTTGGTGCCTGCTTGCATTTGTTCTTTCGATAAAGTGGGCTCAGTTTAAAACCAAGGAGTCTTCAATCTCGACTTCCCACACTGCCAAGCAGCATGAGAGAAAGAATTTGATGAGGCATGGGAAGAGCCTGGATGGAGCTTGACTCACTCAACTCCAGAGGTCAAGGGGAGCTCTGGGATCCTGTGAACCTGGCAGGAGGCATTCCCTGCCTTCCAGACCTGCCCCATCCCCATTTGAAAATTGACTTTCTGAAGGAAGCATCACTAAGCTAGTGAGATCCCTGCTCACTCCTAAGTTTTAGTGAGGTGCAAAAGGAGGCGCGCAACAGCAGCTTAGACAATCAGGTTGCATCACACAAGGTCACATTTTCAGATCCAGGAAGGCACAAGGCAGTTTTCCCACTGCCACAGACAGCTTTGCAATGCACGTCAGGGCTGGTTCAGAAATAGGACAACACACAGGAGGCTTTTGCCAGTTGGGGGGGAGGACGGGACGGGACACACTGAAAAACAGCAGCTGCACGCATCCCATAAGACACCTACCAAAGGTTTCTCCAGGATAGGACTGACACGTCCTGGCCTCATTTCAGTGCACATCAAGGGATGTTAACAGGAGAGGCACACGCTACTTCCACGAGCAGTTAGGCCTTCTTGAAAGCAATCTTGAGTGCCAGAGCAGGTTCTGCTCTGCTTCAAGAAACGTGGCAGGGACAAGCCCAGTTCAACTCAGACCCTTCCTCCAGGTGGAGGCTAGATTTCTGTGCTTGAGAATGTGCCGCCGATATTTCTGTGGAGTTACCACAGGTTAGTCGGCCAGAAAGTCTAGGCGAACATTTGACAGAAACCCAAGTGCAATCTTTCTAGTAGGTGTCTTGGAGAAGAGCATACAGGAGAGAAAGCAGGAAAAGGAACACGACAGTAAGTCTCAGGATTGGTCGGGGGGCGAGGGGGAGTTCCTAGTTTTAAGTCTCACAAATGATGCATATTATTCCTTTCAGAAGAACTAACAAAACAACTTCCTTCAGAGTTAGTAACAAGAGGAACTAGGCAAACGGGTCTCAGACTTGAGGGGTGCTGCACTTTTAGGGGCTGTCTTCCCCGTATGCAGACTGCTGAGCTAACTGGGTCAAACGCCAGAGGAGCATTTCTTTGGTAAAACAGCCTCATTCTTGTAGGTTTTCCAAGCACAGGGAAAATGCCCAGCAGCTGGTGGCTCTGTGAGCCCAGGAACAGCTTCAGAAATCTAAACCACGAAGGCTGCGGTGGGATACTCCCAATTAAGCACAGCTGGTTTGCATAGTCTTGTCTGCTGCTGCTTGTGTAACTCACCACCTACGGCTGCCCAGATCGGAATAACTCGCACTAACCTCCTCAAACCAGTCACCCGCGTCAGAAAGGCTCCGCTCCACATTCCTAACCGAGAACTCTGAAGGGTCCGTTGCTGCTTGTCAGCATGAAGCTTACCCACAGGGAAAAAGCCATGTCAGGGCAGCATACTGAGGAGGAAGAAATGAGGGATGTAAATATTTTAAAAGTTCACTGTAAACGATTAAAATGGTATGGTTTAACCCATTAACTGATGAAAGGAAGAGGAGAGGGAGCTATGCCAGCCAGCATGGCTGGGGCTATGCCAGCCAGTGTGGATTAAGAGTAAGGCTAACACTTACCACTTGGCCATGTCAATATTTTACTTCCCTAGAAGAAGTGGGGACCAGTGTTTTTGATATAGCTCAACTTCCTGTCACATGTACTTCTGGGAATTGCCTAGCACTTCACAGTGACCATCACCATGAGTTTAGGCTTCACTATCTGACAGTTGTTTCTGCTCATAAACAACAGATATTTATCAAGTCTCAGTTTTGTTACTTGTCCTATTTGAACATTTCTCCTCTCGCCCAAGTAATTCCTTAGCTCTGAGTAGCAAGAGAGCTCAGAAAGATCACAGACAACTTTCCCACAGACCACCATGGAATTCCCAAAGATGGGAAAGTTACCCAGAGCCTTCAGACCATTTTCTTTATTCTGTTAGATATTTCCCACCCGGGCTGCTTGGAAGAGAAGTGAAACTAAGGACCTCAGCCCCAGTGAGACCTGTGCCCCTGAAAATCCTCCCATAGCACAGTAGGGGTTTGCCTGACAGGTACTTTGCACATCAAAGTGAAAAGCAAAAGGGCAAGAAGATTCTGAACAGAAATATCAGGGAGACACACACAAGCATTTCAGAGTTTGAGCCCCTGGGCAGAGCTGTCCCCATCATGCTCTCACACATTGGTCCCACCCAGAACTTCAAGCCACTGTCTGGTTTTCCTAACTGCTCTTCCTTGCTAGGGGGAGTGGATGGCAGAATTAGCTCTGCAAAGTTGCTTTGAGAGGGGTATTGCTTCAGTTCTATTGAAATCTCACATTCTCTTCCCTGCCATGGATAAAACCACTGACATTTGTAGGTACCAAACAGACAGGAGGAGTCAGTGATGAATGCAGCTTTAATAGAAAACAGTGTTAACAAAAAAAAAAAAATACGCAACAGAAAGAAATGACAAACATTAGCAAATAAATCACCATCTTTTGTATGTAGTGTTAATGCAGCAAATTCCTAATGTGATTCAGTTTCAGTGCATGAAGAGCTAAAATTTCTGCCTCTTCAGCCTTGATTCCCATGCAGCGAAGTGCCCTCACAGCTCCCTGATAGATTTATTGCACTTAAGAAAAAAATAAAATAAAAAGCTTGAATTCTACACAACAGCCTGCTCTCCAGGGCTGTTTCTCTGGTCAGTTTATAAGTTTTTGTTAAGTTACAGATTAGTACCATAGTTGCCTCCAAGATTTCTTTTCGCCACACAGCAGTAATCCTCATATACAGAAATCTCTCTTCCAACAGCAATTTTTGGGTGGGGGAAGGAAGGGGGGGGGGAAGCATGCCTTTCTTCGTGGATTTGAACCAAAATGGTAGTTCAAGACTTAATTTACCCCACCAAGTCTTCCTTCCTCTCCAACTCAAGAGTAACGGTGGTTTGCTCTCTTAGGGCAACGTCTGAATGACGTGCGTCGTAACAGGCCTTGCTACAGGGTAAAAAAGGTTTACTGCATAACTGTTTCCCTTCCTTGATTGTTCCTCTTGCGCGTGCGACACGGACACCCGCTGCCCAACGCTTCCTTGCTGCTTTAGGGCTGCTGGCTCTTCCCCAAGAGAGGCCAGCTTCTCTCTCGCTGTTGATGTAGGGGGCAGGCATTCCAGCCACATGGATGAGCAGTGAGGTGGCTTGTACTCTACCAAGTGTAGTTTCGACTGTGTCAGTGACTTCAGAACGAGGGCCTCTCTGGGGGGTCATGCCTTGTGCAGGGCATAGCGTGTTGTCGTGGGCCTGTGCAGACTAAACCAGTGATCTGTTCCATGCGCTCCATTATGCGGTGCTCAGCCAGCAGAACCTCACAAGCCCATGGACATTGAGAGAGGACCCTCCCTGAGAAAACTGACCATCCTTTCCAGAGCCACCGGATTCCTTCCCTTGGCAGGAAGAGTAAAGGAAAGGCACCTCTAATGGTATATTCATCCTAACAAAGGTGAGACAGCCTCTGGGATTCTTGGCCTTAAGCCCGATGTATAGAATGGAGCATGTTCCAATGCAGAATTGAAAATTCATCCTGAAAAAAACCTTTGGTAAAAAGGGGCAAATATTCCCTAATGCAAGATTTCACACTGAATCAAAAGTCCCACTGACCAGCTAAAGGAAAGCTATTACACAACGGTGAAGAGTCCAACTTCTGTTCACCTTTTAATGGTGTAACATGCCCCAGACTCTCCCTCGTCACATACAAAAGGAGTTGGAAAATCCCAAACAGAAGGAGGGCAGTAACTTGAAACAAACCAGGTGATATAACAGAATGTAGAGGATCCGGCTACTTCTACGGCAGTTGCCTCTGGCTCAGCATTAGACTGCTGAAGCCGACAGCCTCATTTCAGCCTCTCCCTCTCTCACACACCATCAGTTCCATACTATATGGCTTTGAGAAAACCTGGCAAAAAGGGGGAAATTTGTCCTTTGAAGCTTATAAAGTTAGGAAACTAGATAGACTCAGCCAGGAGAATTCCTCCCCCTTCCCCTGTCGCGAGACACACGCCAACGTAAAGAATTCCACCTGACCCTCAAATGGCATCAGCCAGGCCTCTTGACTGCATCACTGGCCAGGAGCCCTCTGAAATGTGGCTCTCACTAGGGCATGTCACAAGCACGCAGGCTAGCTGTGTTCACTGTGGTGTGCTGTGTAGGGTTTGCGTGGGAAGGGGTGTCTGATGGTGCTTTTTGGCAGAGTTCTGCAAACCAGGAGTAAAAGTTCCAAAAAGGTTGCAGGTGAGACTACAAGTAATTCTACGCTGGTTTCTAAGTTAAATCCTGGTCGGTATTTTGAAGCTCATGATAAATATATACCCAAAAAAGGGGGATTTAAAATAAATAACCATTGTGGCTGTGGACGCAGCTTGTCTGGTGAAAGAAGTTTCTCATGTCAGTGCCACTCTCTCCAGGGACACAATCATGTGCAACCATTCTGCTAGCAGATTTCCATGTTACAAAACAGTTATCAAACTAGCCTTCAGAGGCCCGGGACGCTTGTAGTGTGGGGCAAGCAAATCCAGGCCTGAACCATGCGACTCTGGGTTTTTAATCTCCCATCTGAATTGGAGAATATTCCTGCCCAATGCCTGTTCCCCAGGACCGACGGCATCTTCTCCTTACAAATTACTCAGCAACAGTGGTAATTCCAGAGAAATATAGAAAGAAAAATGCAAATGCATCAGCTAGTGTCTAGAGAAGGTCAGAAAATAGTGCCGTTTCCGTCAGGTGCCAGAGCTCACCTTGGAATCAGGTGGGGGGGAGAGGGGAATCGCTTTTGGTAAAGTTTTTTTTCCTTGGTTCTCCTTCCCTTCCTGATCATCTTGAAAATATCAGAGTCCTTCCTCATAGGACAGGGAAGTCAAGAATGCAGGGAAAAGTATCTAGGGCAGGAAATATCACATTGTTTTGAAAAAATAAAACCTCTGTCCTGCAGACCAAGGTTCTTCTGAATCATGAGGCGTGGGAAGGGAATAAAGCGACACACACCTTCCCCACGACAGTCTCAGCTCAATGTAGATCGACCCAGAGGGACTGTGAAAGAGAACACACACACACACAAGTTAGACACCGCAGGAATTGCCATACCGGATCAGCCAGTCTTGTGGCCTCTTTTGTACATTGGGTCAGTAGCAGACGCTCCTGAGGAAGTTCCAAAAATCTTCATTTTAATAGTCCACTGCTCCAGGCGAGCAAGCCTGCAGAGGCAGAGTGATGCTAATCCTAGTAGTCAGGCTTGTGCCCCGAGACAAGATTTATTTTCTTTATAAATATATTCCTTGTCTTACTTTATCCTAACGAATACAAAGCACAGACTGGAGCTGGATCAGCTTCTTTGCCTGAGGCTACTCCATCTCCCACTGGAATTTAATAAAACCTGCTCTCAGGATCTATTTTCAGTAATAATCCACATCCAGTTTGGAACCCCGCATTTCCCGTTTACACCAGATCCACACAGTCACTTGGAGCACAGCCCCTTGCAAGAAAGCCTCATAAAACACATAGACCTAAAGGGACAATAGATAATCCAAATCTCAGTGTTTCCCCCACTTCATACAGGAAACCCCTACAGAGTACAGCAGTTACCCTAGCAATGGTATTTAGGAACTAAGCCCCTTGAAACATTTTTAAGAGCAACTGCCATTAAAATGCACCATTTCTGGGACCACCATGTCCAGCATGTGTGTAAAATCTGAAGCGACACCTCTGATGAGGTCTCGATCTACAAGACATAATAAATCATGCAGGAATTTCATAGGCTCCTAACGACCAGGGTTTAAACGACACTCTCTTTGTAAGAACACTTTTGAGGAAGATGTGTAGCGCATTGGATCGAGCCATGGGGGAGCCCAGCAAAAAAGTCCAGGACTGGGAGGATGGGCCCTTCCAGTGCCAACTGTGACAAAGTGGAAATCTTCTGTCACATGAGAAGGAACGGATATGCTGGGAAGTACATGGTGTACGTGTAGCCTGTTACTCCCAGGATGAGACACACAAGGTGGGTGAGGTAACACGTACCGGACCAGCTCCTGTTGTCTCTCACCAACAGAAGTTGGTCTAATAAAAGCTACGTCGTCACCCGCCTTGTTGCTCATGCTTGAAGTGACATACTTGACTAGGATTTAGGGATGTATGCAACTAGTTGACCACCCGATTAGCCGAGGCTTATCGAGTCGAGTCACTACTCAACTGGTCAATTCCCCCACTCTTGTTGCCTCTATCAGAGGCAGCAACGGGGGAGCGGGAGCCGGTGCTGGGAGGAGCCGGCTCAAAAGTCAGCTCCCCCCAGCACGGTCTCCACAGGGGGTGGGACAGGGAGGCAGAGGCATAGGGGAGGAATGTGGCAGGAGCCCTGCAGAAGAGCTGCAATCAAGACCGAGTACGAGCAGGGACTGCTTCAGTTCCGCTCGCTGCGGTTCCCGCTGCACCTGACCTTTAAATGCGGTAAGAGCTGCAGGCAGTTAAATTAATAGCTATTTTTAACACCAGGCTCACCTCCTGGCCCACTACCCACTCCCACCATGGCCGTGGGGTCCTACTTGGGGTCCTGCCATGGTCATAGAGGTTCCCACCCGCCCCTCTGTAACTCAGGCTTCCCCAGCCAGCCACACTGGGCTACCACTGGAGGGGAGCCGTATGCTCAATGGTTAACCATTTTAACATCTCTACTCAGAAGGTAGGAAATACCTCCACGAACACCTGTACAATTCTAACATTGCTGCCTCCTTAGGTGTAGCTGAAGCAAAATGCAGGACAATGTAGCACTTTAAAGACTAACAAGATGGTTTATTAGATGATGAGCTTTCGTGGGCCAGACCCACTTCCTCAGATCAAATAGTGGAAGAAAATAGTCACAACCATATATACCAAAGGATACAATTAAAAAAATTGAACACACATGAAAAGGACAAATCA